AACTACTATAAACTTTTCAAATGACTGGAGCCAGGAGGAAAATAAAGGGGACTGACAAGGTGTTTGCTGAGGACAAGGGAAGAAGGGAGGGTGGGGTGGAGTGAGGGGCATGAGGGTATTAGAATTTTCCATGTGTGCCAGGTCCCCTGTACAGCGTATCCATGTGGGAGGTATTATTACTCCCATTTTTCAGACAAGGAAAGGGATCTAAGTTAACCTGGCAAAGCTCATGCAGCTGCAAAAAGGTAGAGCCTTCCTTCTTTCTGTCTCTATACTTGTGCTCTTTGTTGTATGTTCATACTCCCCCTTCTGGCATCTCATTCAGTGGCAATACAGGTCTCTCAATGCAGTCATTCATTCACACATTCTCATTGTGTGTCCCTTGCCTCCTAGGTGCTGAACCCAGTGCTCTAGTAAGACAATCTGTGCTGACCATGGTCACCACCCACAGAACATGTGTTGTCTAGCAGTCGGTGTCCTAAGCACACTCCACTAGCTGTCTCATTAATACTTCGTAGACGAGGCATGGGGGCCCAGAGAGGCTTCACAGTCCACTGGAGCGCTGTTAGTAGTACCAGCACATAAACCACAGACACACCTGAATTCAGCATCCACGCTGCCCACTCTCCCTCAATCCATTGTCTCGATAAATCAAGTTTCATACCCACAGGGAGTTTAAACATCTCCTGGGTGCAAAAACAATCCACACGAGCTATGATGTTATAAGAAAGAGTTAGTGTATTGATTCCCTATTTCACAGCTACCTTCTCTGATAATGAGGTAATCAGGGCTAAAGTTACAACCAGAACACTACAGCGTCCGTTCACTATTTAGTTTACATGCCCATTATCCACTCTTTGCATCTAGATGCTGGAATTATGATAGTCATCTATCTCCCCCAGAATCATAACTTGGGTATCAAGGAATGTGTGACTTTGAATAAATAAGCTAGCATCTCTGTATTTTTTGCATTTTAAGGTAGGTAGAGAAGATCAGACCAATGTTTTCATATAACAGACTTCCAAAGCAGGCAAGAGTTAGTATTTTGAACAGTGTAAGCTGCACTTGTGAATGAATTTGCCTAAAGTTCTTTGCTGCTCTTGTTGCTTTAGCATGTCCTTTGGATTCTGATAATGACAACCCTCCTTTTACAGTCACAGATTTTGGGCGAATGTGCTACAAACTCAAAAACCCTTATAGCCAATACACGGTCAAGCTAAATATCTTAGACCAATGTACGACAGAGTGTCAGCATTATACAAGTAAAGTTCTTTCTATCATAGGGATAGCAAATTACAGACGAAACATTGCTGTCCTCCTTTTTACCTATTCAGAAGTATACCTGCTAGGTCATCTTCCAAATAGGTTCTTTCAAGAAAAATCAACTTTACTGGGAAGGAGAGTTATGAAATAGAACCAGAAGGTTAATATGAGTTTAAGAGGAGCACAAGGTTATCTTGGCAATTGCAGATTCTCCAGGAGGTTGATTACCCACACCCAGCCCTGACAACTTACAAAATGTACCAGCGGTGACACAATTTTGTGTACAACAGGTAACTCTACTCTGCACTCTCAATAATATGATTTTATTTATTTATTTATTTTTGCATGGCTGTTAGAGCAATATTTCTTTCAAGTTCCATTTGGAAAAAAAATAAATGAATGCTATTTAAATTCTTGCAGCAATGTTATATGGAAAAAAAACAGTGTGATCAAGAATTGTACAATTTAGAGAGTGACAGCAAGAGAGTGTGTGAGAGAGAGAAGAGAGAGAAGTAGAGAGAGAGAATGAGAGATACTGAGCTGATTTCTGAAGGCTTAGCAAGAGATTTACTAAATGAGAGAATGCATGTGATAGACTCCTGGGTGCTGGGAAGGCAGCAGGATGTGCTGGAGGACATGTTGGCATGATTCAGATGACCTACAGGTTTTACAATCTTCACCTAAAGACCGCAAAAAAGCCAATGTGCTGCTATCAGTTGGAATCATGATGGGATCTGTGTTAGACAACAATTTCCTTCTTGACCTACTGCCCTTACTATCGTTCAAACCATCATCCTCTCTCACGTGGATCTCTGTAAAAGCATCCCACATTTTCCCACTGACACTGATGCCCTCCACACTCTGCCCCCCCGACCCCCACCTATCTCTGCCCAGCAGAGTAGCTTGCCATCTCTTACAATGGCAGCCACATTCTGTAACTCTCATTTAATGACTCAGGAAGACATTCAGAACCTTCCCACTGCCCCCCTCTGTTTGCCTCTCCAACTTGGTTTCCTATCACCCCCTCTCAGTTCACTCTGTTCTTCCAGCACTGACACATGAAGTTCAGTCATTGCTACCTGGGTCCCCTCCTGTATTTCAGTTGCCTGAAGTCATATGCTTCTTGGAGTGGAGAAATGAAGTTAAATCTTTAGGAGGGTTCAGGTATGATGTCACCATATGATAACAATTAAAATCACAATGATGATGATGACTACACTTTACTGAGCATCAACTCAGTGCCAGAGGCTAGACTGGATGTGTTACATATATCTTAATCTCCCAGAAAACCTGTGGGTTCTTTCATTGCTGTACTATCCTACTTCCCTATGCAGATTACACAAGGTACAGGTTGAATATCTCTAACCCCAAAATCCAATATCTGCAATGCTCCAAAATCCAAAGCTTTTAAGTACCAGCATGTTGCTCAAAGGAAATGTTCAAGGAAAGCATGTCAGATTTTGAATTTTTGAATTAGCAATGCTCAACTAAATATAATGCATATATTTCAAAATCACTTCTGATCCCAAGCATTTAAAAAAAATATTTTTCTTATATCGATGCATAATAGATGTACATAGCTTTGGGGTGCATGTGATAATTTAATGTATTCATATAATTTGTAGAGATCAAATCAGGGTACTTGGGATGCCCATCATCTTAAATATTTATCTTTTCTTTATGCTAGAATCATTCAAATTCTTCTAGCTATTTTGATGTGTACAACAGATTATTATAAATTGCAGTTGGCCAATGCTTTACTAGACTCTAGTGTGGCCATGTTTCCTGGCTTTGGTCCCCTCCCCTACCTTGGGGAGGCGAATCTCCTCTTTCTATCTAATTTTCTTTCTAAATAAACTATATTTTCCTAAAAAAAATAAATAAAATAAACTACTGTCATCCTACTGACCTATTTAACTTGGATCAACTATGTATTTGTTTCCATTAGCCCACCTCTCTTCATACCCCTGCCAAGCATTGTGGTTAAGGGGTTACTCAATCTACTCTGGATCCCAACCTGTGTTAGCCCAAAGTGTTGAAATGTCACTCAGTATCATGCAAGTCTGTAAAGGACATAAAATCCTCAAGGGTTCTTTCAGGAAGTGAGTTCAAATACTTGGAAAACACTCTTACCTCTTGTCTCCACCACAGACCTATCTTGTGACAGTCACACAGTGCACCACATACCCCGTGACAACAGACACCACCCTCCAAGGGGCAATACAGTAAGTTATCTCAGCCAGATTCCCCAGCTAACGAGATGCCCTCCTTGCTTCCCGCTGGGAAGTAATGGGTTTGGCTATCTAAGAACACAGCCTCTCCAGGTGTCCTGGACTTTCTTCTGGAAAGGAAAACAGTACATAAAGATAATATAAGGTCTTATTATTCTAGCAAATGCACTCTCTGGACTATGTAGGTCCTACAGCCTGTTAATATGATTTTGAAAAAAGAATTATTATAATTATTTTTTGGCAGCCTGGAGTTTTTTATCTTTATGAGATAATAGCAATGTTTTAAAAGGATTATCATAGTGCTGCATGATGATGATGATAACAGCAATAATAATAATCCTATATTATGTGTAATGCTTTAAGAGTTTTAAAAATACTTTGATAACAAAATTTAAGGTTTGATCCTAATAATGATCCTTTGAAGTATATGGGATAGTAATTTTTTGCCACATTTCACAGTAGGGAAAATTTGGGTTCAGGGCAATTAAATAACATTGTCCACGGCTTCAAGTGAATCATGGCACGGTAGATCCAAGACTCAGGTGTCCCAGCTCCTAGTCCAGTGTTCCTTAAATGACAGGACTGGTGAATTTATTTAAAGGAGGATACCAGAGGAGATTCTATCATAAGATTTGAGGGGCCACGTGTGTGTGCGTGCGTGTGTGTGTGTGTGTGTGTGTGTGTGTGTGTGTGTGTATGGTTGTATGTTAAGAGGAATGGTGGATTCCCTAAGTGGTTCTTAGGGACTAAAATATCATTTCAGAAGCATGGACACATTATACAACTTTAACAAAGCCCTAGGTTCTAAGCACTGTCATCTGTTCCATATCACATTGTTACACATAAATCACAGTGTCATGCAAACTACCCAGACTTCAAGCTTCCCAATAAAAACACTTAATATGTATAGAAAGAGGGTTCTGTAGAGCTCTTTCATGTCTATTTTCTCATCTCTTGGCGGTTTTTTAATCTCCACAGAAATGATGTTCTTATGTTTATATTGCTGCTGTTTCTGTCTTAATGAATTATACGGTTCATTTTATGTTTTCGGATATAGTCATTTTGGGCAGTGACTCAACCAGCAGCCTTTTCTTCCTCAAGCCTCTCCCAGGAAAAGAAAGGAGGACAGTGACACACCTCCTCACAAATGTGCAAGCTCTTGGCTCTTTCTCTTTTTACATTTGCACCCCAGTAGTTCACGGGACTCCGCTCCTGTGCTTTATTTTCTGATTATTGACAAAAGGGCTTGAAGTTCAGGCAGAGATGTTGACACGACTTGTGTCTTCAGTGAAAGGTAAGGCTGCTCCACCACCCTGGCTCAGCAGCACTCAGTAGTGCATTGAGAACACACCAGAGATCTCCACATTCTGCACAAATCAGCCGAAGAGACATATCTTCATTGTGAAATCCATTGTTCAAACACATTCAAGTTCTAGTTTTGTTAAAGGTTAAAGAAGTTTCATGAAAGTCGGCATTACTGAATCCCAGTTCCTTCTATGCGCTTACCTCCAGAAAATGTTCCGCCTGCTGTTCCCGATCCAATTTCCTTGAAGTTGTTGTAATCAGACCTGTGTAGAAATGAGAATATTTGACTTTTAAGTATCTGGGGCAGGTAGCTTACTGAATGTGGGGGAACAAGCACAGTTAAAGAAAAAGCAAAATGGTGGGAACAGTAACTTTCCAATGCCCATGACAATCGTCTCATGAATTATTCTTAAAAGAAAGTAAAATTTACAAAGAAAACATTAAAAAATTGTTTCAATTCTGCTACCACAGTTGAGGCATTGTAATCACTTTGGGGATGTGAAAACTCACTAAAGAACTATTTTTTTTCTGATAATGAGAATTTTCAATGATTCATTTGCATATGACTGAAATTCTACAGTAAGAACCTCATTAAAGATTTTAGAATTCTTGAACAATTAATAGGTTGTTTATGCTGATTAGATTCGGCTATGAAACAGCACTTTCTTATTTAATTTTTATATGCGTATATAATTTTTGTTATACTTGACAAAGAAGGTTATTTCTGTAATAACTACTTGTACACATAATTATTTCAGATTTAATAACTCTAACACACCAAAGATCTCATACTGTAATTTTTATCATTTTGTTTTATGCGTTTGGATCTTTATATAAAATAAGTTCCACATGGAAAATATCTTTTCTTCCAATGCTGTTTCTCATAAATGAATCACCCCTTTGAGTATAAAGACAAAGAAAAGAAAATGAGAAGACAAAGCCTTCAAGGCCTCCTACCTTATTGCCCCATTTGTCTTTTGCAGGTTTTATTATTCTTATTGTCAAAAGGCAATTAGGAGGTCAAATTTATTTTCCATTTCTCAATCCCACAATGTCCCTAAAGAGAACATGGGTTGGGCTGCTTTTGTGGTATATTCTGAGTGACAATGACGGAACAGAGAAAATCCCTTGAAAAGCTTGCTCCCAAAGCTGGTGAGGTGGGGAGATATGGAAAGGGTATTTCACCAGGAAGAGCTCTTGACCTCAGGCTTCTAGTCTGATGTAGAAGTGGTGGGTGGTAGTGCACAGATTTCAGAGAAAGCCAAGAAGGGACCACAGAAAATTCAATGCCCCCTCCCCTTGGCCTTCAAAATAATGTCCCTAGCCTGGCTCCCCACAGGCCATCCCCACTCTTCCCCTTCCACCAGAGGGAAGCCTGTGTGGGACTGCACAAATGGTCTGCCTCTACAGGAACTCCTAGAACATGCTCTACCCCTCAGCCTCACCCACAGGTTTTACTTTTCTTTTCTTTTATTGTAAATTGACCAATTATACTTGTATATATTTATGGGTTACACAGTGATGTTATGATTTATGAATAGCAGGTGAAATAATTAAATCAAGTGAATTAACATATCTATGCCCTAAAATACTTATTTTTTGCAATGAGGACATTTAAAATTTGCTCTCTATAATTTGAAATGTAAATACGTGATTACCCACTGTATTTACCAAGCTACACAGCACTACACCAAGCTAGACTTTCATACTGGAGCTCAGGCATTGGGCTACACTGACAGTCTTGAACAGGGCTAGGTGAGCATTTGATGTGCCCCCCCAAACCAACACACTCCGCCATCATTGTTCTTTGCCTGTTAAAACCCTTTGTTCAAATGTCTGCATCTTCCCACCAGACAAACTGACAGAGTAACTTCATGGGCAGGACCTGTCTTTTGATTCAGAAGCTCTGGACTCCACCTATTTCCCTACCGAGGACAAAGGATAGGATCCCATTAATGCTTAGTTGATGAAAAGTTGCCATGGATGAGATCAATTATGTTCTGACTTTTAGTTTTGCTACAGACTTGGAATGTGTTTTTCTAGAAGAATATTGTTTTGTGGGTGGAGGATGTATTTGTGGGTGAGGAAGGCATATGTGATATTTGTATTCAGTTACAATAATTTACAGAGCTCTTCCATGTGAATGAAGCAATGTTAGGCCCTTGTGAATGTCAAAAGCTACTGTCAGAGATTTGGAGGGAAGACTGCCACCAGCAGTAACTTCCTTTCCCCAGTTGTCCATCAGAATCCCTCAGGAAACTAAAACACAGATTTTGTGCCTCCAGTCTATCTCTCATGAACAATATCAGAGTCTCCTGGGATGAGTTCTGAGATGGTCCTCTGACCCCAAGAGAAAGTCACTATTTAATCCCCTCATCTTTCGTTGAATCTCATCCTGACCTTTTCTTGACATTAATTCTTCTGCCTAGCCACATCTAAGAATGAAATTCACTGAGCTATGCCAGCATCTGGGTTAGACCATAAGGCTCTGTGTGTCGGGGGAGATGGAGATAGTGTGTGTGTGCACACTGGGGTGTGGGCTTGATGAAGGAGAAATACAGAGAAGTGTGGGTCTGATTCTCATCAATGGAGAGTCTGAGTGGTCGCACCAGTGGGCATCTAACACACTATTTGAGCTCTCCTTTTGGAGTCACTCTATGTGACAAGGTCATGCGTCACAGAGGCTCTTTACGAGGGGAATAACTGTCTTCTCACAAGGCAGAGATGGCTGGAGCCTCACCTCCTCCTGGCGGGTCTTCTCTGTTGAGGCCACAGTGGGGACAGGCATGCTTGTTATATGGAGGCTATAAAAGGGTGAAAGGACTGCCGGCTTCCAACCCCAGGTACAAAAGACCAGGCCCCTCTGTTCTCTGATTCCCTGGGGATTCTTTGTCATGGCAGGTCCTTATTACTGGGGCCATACACCACACAGCCCATTGAGGTTGCACAGGGAAGAGGTCAGCTTCCTCTCTGGATGATTCTTAGGTCAATTCTTTAGGACATGCACTTATATTCATAATGCCCAGTTGTAGCCAGGAAAGCAGCAGCGTCCCCTTTCAGCTGCAGGACTTCACCAGGATGTGTTTCTCACAATCCCTCACAAGTCCCAAACAGAGTGCACTACAGTAAGCCTGGAGCTGTGGGAAGCCTGGCCACTTTCTGCACCTGGGGAAAGACCAGGAAACCCCTGCAGGCTTCCGTTCTCTTGTCTTCCACCACCTTGCCTTTCACAGATATAAGATAAAAAGAAAGAAAAAAAAATCTAAATTAAAAATGTAAATCAGATGAGGTGAGGTGGGAAAAGGGAATGTCTGCCAATGGGTACAAGTTTTCTTTATGGAGTATTGAAAATGTTCTAGCTTGCAGATTATGGTGATGGTTACACAATTCTGTAAATATTCTGAAAAGCATTAAGTTGTATATTTTAAATGAGTGACTATTACTGCATGTAAATTATATGTCAATATGTCAATAAAGATGTTAAAAATCAGTAGAAAATCATAAACCCTGACTTTCAGGTTTTAACAAGTCTTTCATGTTTGGAAAAGGTAGGCACTTAAAAGTAACAATGAATAAATGAATGAGTTACTTTAGGAATCAGGTATGAAGAATAGAGTTTGTTCATGGAATCTGGACCATAGGAATATCGAATTTTTGGGATTAATAACTGGTAGTTATTTGCACTGAAAAATAAATCTTGTTATAAAGCCAGCATCCACTAAACCAAGAGGGGCAAAAGCCTTCCTCCTTCTAAAGGTTTGTAACCAGGGTGAGCTATGGTCCCTGAGCAGCTCTGTTGCTTTTTACAGTCAGAAAGGAATGCAGTGAGCTACCCCCCACAGTCCAGAAGAATTAGCTAAAATTACCAATGCTGCATCTTGTTTTTAATAACTCTACTGTAGCTGAATGCCTTTGGGCCTCAGAATATAGAACAAGACAAAACAAAACAAGCTCCCTCTCTAACCACTCTGACTCATCACTGTGGAGGGCAACCCTATTCTGTAATCAATGCAAGAAAGAAGCGTGTGTGTCACACATGTAGCTGCAGACCCACTGGGCATAGTGAATTGGGGGCTGACATGATGAAAGTGAATCTCAGAGATAAATCATAGGCAAGTTTTTGAATGTGGTTTGGAGATATAGCACACACATCATTTAATATAATTACATATGCGAACCTCCAATTTAGGAAGGGAATTATGCCAGTCCTCTGCAAATGATACTCATGGTGGGGGCGGGGAGCATATGGCTGGAACTGTGCGATTACTTTAAAAATGGCTGCCTTTGATTTTTGTTGTGGAGATGGGAAAATCTTTTTCTGAGAAACAGCCTGAGAACAAAAATGTGGCTGCCTGTTCAAAAGAGAATTCAAGATGTTCTAAGTTATGATCAGAGAAGTGATACTTGTGAGGAGGACATCTTTCCCTGACGTTTTTCCCTATGGGTGTCCTAGGTCACATACTTCCATGACAGTCACATTTTCTGTAAGTACTACTTGAAGCAATGCAAGCCTTAGCTGTTTTAGCACGGTTCTCCAAAACTGTTGGAAGCTGAATTTAGTATTTTAAAACTACAACTGGAATTATCAACCCTGTGAGCCACAATGAATGCTTGCATTCTGCTTTTCATATCCCATTTTCTCTACCTGACATTTCTCTGTCCGGTTCCCGGCTATCTGGTAGACCACTAACCTACCAGGACAGTTCAGGCACTATGGTCTATGTGAAGCTTCTCGGACCTTGCCTTCTTGCACATGATGAAGATAACTCATCTATCATCAGGATCTCCCTCTAGACCACAGATGGAAGGCAGACGCTTTAGGCAGTTCACTTATGTTATGCCCAACAACCTAGATCAGTGTCTGCCACATTTGTTGAATAAAATCTGGTTATGCGGCATACAGAATTTTGCTTTAATTATTTGCCAAAGAGTCAGTCTTCCCTAATAAGATGCAAGCAAAAGGGTGGTGAATAGATCTTACTCATCTTGTATTCCTGGTGTTTAATGCAGAACCTGGCACATTGTAGATACCAAGCAAAACTCGTTTGGATGAAGATGATGTGAATGTAGTCTTCCAGAACTCACAATATTGTTTCATTATATAGAGTGACCATAAGGGTCCCAATGAATGGGAGTAAAGTTGTCTAAATGCTCTCCTCCATTCTTTGAATAATTTTAATGTTTTCCCATTTTTTGGAGGTCATTAGAGCAATATCTGACAGTCTTTAAAACTTTTTAAGTAGCTAATTAAAAAAATTAGTCTTTAATC